GCGTTCAATCTCGATAGAAGGGAAGACCTCGCGTCCGTCGCAACGGATAATTCGCATCGGTGGCAACGCGACACGGTTCTCACGGCAGCGGTTTTCGCGATGCTAGGAATCGGAATCGTCGTCGATCGTACGAAGAAGGAGAGAAACAAAGTCGTTCACGTACGTCAATCGTTCAACGTCCGACAGTTTGAATCCAAAAGATACGATAACCTGACGAATCTCTCCGATAGTTCCAGATTCGATCTCTCTCTTGAGAATATCGTACACGGGGAAACATCTGCTCCAAATCGCTTCCATCAAGAATAACTTTTTCTCCTTGGCCAGATTTATCAACTCGGTCGTTTGCCTCAGATTCACGGTCAAGGGCTTCTCGCACAGAACGTGTTTGCCGTGTTGCAACATCAACCTGGCGACGTCAAAGTGTTGCGGATTCAACGTTCCGACGTACACAACGTCTGCGAATGTAAAGAAACGGGAGATGAACGGACGGAAACGCGTCGTCGTCCGCGTCGTTACGATCGCGAGGGGAATCGCAACGAGCGGAACGTCGAGAGCTGCGAAAGCCGTCGAGATTCGCAGACTCGGAGGAAAAGAGAGAAATCGCACGTACCAACGTCCCGGTCCTCGGCCAGTTTCGCGTAATCGTCGAAAGCCTTTGGAACGTTGTGCGAGCTGGAGAAACGTCGCGCTCTGGACAAGTCGCGAGCCGCTACCGCGACCACCGCGTGCTCGGACGTTGGCAACGTTCGCAGAGCCGTTACGAAGTCGTGCGATATCTTTCCGGCACCTGCTATACCCCAGTGGAGAGACATCTGCAACAGAGGAGAACGAGGTTAGCGGCGACGAACGGACGACGGAGACTCGAGTTGAAAGACGGAAACGTCGTCGTGGCGAGACGTAACTTTTCGTTCGGGGATGGCAACGGTCGTGGAGGTTAGGACGGAACGGAAACGTAAAATTTTGTCGAGACTTTGGCGCGTAACGCTCGCGTTCGTAAACGAGTCGCAACGTGTTTTTGGCAGCCGGCGCGTTTTCCTGGGAATCGGAGGAAGAGATACGCGACTTAGTTTCGCGGCACGTACGTACGTTGGCGGATTCGGTGGACGCAAAGTGGAACGGCGAGCGAGGATACTCGGTGAGACTGCTTCGTGGAAGAGTGCCGGGGAAAGGAGGCGCGGCGTCGGTTATAACGCGACATCGGTTGACTTTGGAGTAACCTTTTCGCGAGATAGGACGGAGATTGCAAAGTGAAAAATACGACGCGGGAGATACGGTCGGTGGTAAACCGGTGGAATCTGGAGTTGGCGCAATCGGTCGACGCACGGGCGTAGAGATTGCGGACAAGAGCGAGGAGAAGAGCGTAGCGTCGTTGGCGGGGCGTAAGAAGGGAACGTTTTTCGCGATGGACTTGGTATCGCAGAGTACAGGGACGTATCGGGATATGGGAAGAGGATGGAACGGGACCTTGGTTAGGTTTTACGCGAGGTTTGAGGAGAGGAAGAGGGTTGGTGAGAGGTAAGTAGGAGGATCGTAGCGT